TTTTTAGTTGGTCTAAGTACACATATTTTATCGTCTTCTAATTGTGGTTCTTCCGTCATTTTCAGTTTTCCGTTAATTTCCGTTAAACAGTACTATTCAGTGTTGTTTCTGTTATATTAGTCGTTTGTCTATTTTGCAATAATACGAGTACGTGATGGCTATGTGCAAATTGTAATTGGTATTTGACATTCTGAACAGCCTCTGTATAATAAAGTCGTCATCAGTCTGATTTTGAACAATATATATTTTTTTATCTTTTTTAAATGTAAAACATAAAGAATAATATCTTGTAATATTATCTTGTTAGAATACCTTTTCCTACGTCAATATAAGAAATANGTGTAATATTAGTATAGTTTATACTAATATTTTTTTATTTTTTTTGTTTTTGGTTTTTTTCTTTTGTTTTTTCTGAGAGCTTGTGTTTGTTGGTGCAATACCCAGGACGACAAAAGTTCCCCAGGGCCGTAAAGTTAGAGCATTTTTTATTACAATCCTATTATTCATGTCAAATGTGAATAATTATTTCTCTAAGTATTTTAAGTAAATTTTTTAAATAAATTAAATGATTTGATACATATCGTAACCCTTCTATTGACACGTGACTATTTTGTATATACTTGCAAATGAAAATTATTTTAACATTTATTTTATTTTCTTATTTTAATTTCTTATTTTCTTATTTTAGTTTATTTTTTTACTATAAAAACATTGCTTACTTTTTATAATCTATAAATAGTTCTAAACTTGTTGTAAGATTTTTTGTAATTTTAAATTAAATACTGTTTTTATTGAAAATAGTGTTACGTAAAACCTATATTTTTTTTCGTTTACAGTTTTATTTTCACGTGTTTATGTCAAGGTTTAGAAGAATGTATTCAAATATGTATTATCAATATTTGCACGTTTATTATATCTTCTAGATGTTGTTAAAAATATAGATATATTTTTCTTACCGGACATTTATAAGGTTTTTTAGGACACTTGTGTATATAAAATAAACTTATTGAATTAAATGTCGCTTTACAATATGAACACGTTGGCATTTTTGAAGAAAAAGTTAACTTATTGCGCCACTGTATTTCACAATATCCGACAAACGACTGCGTTGTAGCGAAAGAAAATGATTTTGAGACAGAAA